GATTTCGCCAGTTGGCAAGTATCTATGCACTCAAGGCGCAGTTGCGGACGCCCTCCGAAACGCACCTGCAGGTCGGTGAGTATAAGTGCGTGATCAGAGTTCACGCCCGTGCTCAAAAGCGAGCTACAGTTTTGGAAACATCCTCTCCAGCGGTCCATTATATAAATCTGCAGTTTTTACTTCTATTTATTCCGATTATTCAGCCCCTGTGTTATACATTCGTACTTTTTAGCTTATCACCGGATACAAAAAAAGCCACTGCGGTGCAGCTGGAATTTTCCTAATTCGATTAACGCAGTAGGTACAAAGCTAGCATTCTGGGTTAACACCGACTGTTCTGTTCAATTCTAGGCGACGGATTGTTTTCTTTCGAGCTGCGGTTTACAACTCACTTGTGGTCTTTCTGTCACAATGGCTGGTATATGGGACCGATGTTGATATGCATGTCGATTGAATTGGGGAGGATTCGGCCCTGAGGAACTCCCTCTTTTTGCGTCCTTCTTTGAACAAGGATCTCCGTGTTGTGTTTGGCGTTCGAATAGCATCACATCATAGTAACCCAAAAGCCAAATTATTCAGTCTATATACGCATCGATATCGATCCAGTATACTAACCCCTGCGATGGAAAGATTTCAAGCGAACTGAAAAGCACAGCCCGAAAAAAACAATTTGTCTCCCGGAAATGAACAGAGCAGACGACGTTAACCAAGAATACCAGCTTGTACTTATAGGTTGTAACGCGCGCTTCGTTTGTCCCTGTTGCCTTTGTTGTAACCGCTAGGCAAACCATCTGTTCTCTGCCTTGTGCTTCGCTACTGTTAAGACACTCACCTACCTTCCCACAGTAAGAGGCCTACGATTACCGAGGTGCGTGCGCCATTCGCGCTGTTCCCTTAACGAGTGCGCCTTGCCCCAATCTGAGTGCGCAACCGGGAAGAACAAAATACGAACTTGACCTACAAGTGTTTATTGGGTACGCGGACGGTAGAGATTTATGGGACACACTCACCATACCTCGTTGCGACGTTTGGCTGATTGACTCCTGAATGTCTGCCCGCGTGGGCAAGTCCAGCATTGCATGAATGCGACAACGGCATGCGATTTCGTTAGCTTCCTGTCGAGTGCATAGCAACGCACGTGCCGGCTGATGCAGTTGTGATTCTGCTGACAGTACGGATACCCGATGCAGCCACTCTGGTCATGATACAGCCACTTCCCAAATCAGAAGACAAAGGCCTCTGGTGGAACTTGTATGGAGCACCCAGAAGACAGGATGTACAGCCAAAATATCGGGTCAAAATACATAGTTCATGAGAGAAAAGACCTAGTTGAAAGTTCCTGACTAGAGCAACTACTAGATGCGCAAAAACTCGCTTGTTGGCTGATCAAGTAATGTGCTTAGTGGGGAGTTTCAAGGCAGGTCATTCTGATTGGTCCACTTCAAGGTAAAACGATGCCATTGGCTTACTATTATTGGATAGCCAATCGGTTGCAAGCGGCATACAACCAATATTCTACGGGCTACTTCAGATAGAGAGAGAGCTGGCTTCGATGGCTGCAATGGACAGGCTCCGGTAAATGCCATGGCAACGAGCCTGCCAGCTGCTTACGTGAACTGGCCAGTCTCGCATTGCTAAGGTGACCATGGTAGTCGGCCGTTTCGCCTTCGTGACACTATTACATCAATCGAATTGGAACGATCCCAAGCAAACCGCAGTAACGTGTATATAGCCAATGATAAACGCCTAAATACGAACGAATGATACTGTGACTGACTAATTAGAATAGAAAAAAGTTAAAAAGAAACATAGAAGTACCAGGTAACATCCATGAGGGAATTCACCCTGTCAGTATTTGCTACGAAACCGCCACTTTTACAATGATAACGTCACCGCGACTGGTGGCGAAACATTTGGAAGCAAACTGCCAAGCTCGGCGAGCAGCATGACCAGTATTCGAATCTAGATTAGATTCGGGCAAACGCAGTGAGAAGGCATCGCCAGTGTCACGTAAAAGCAAACGTACAATGAACACAGGATCCGAATCTTAGTGATGATCAAGGCCTCCTACATGGTAGGACTCAATGCAATTTTAAACGAGTCGAAACTAGAAGACAAATATAGCCTCAGCAGTACGCTGGTACGCAGTACCGACGCTCCGCTTCCGCGCAACCAGCACCGGTTGCACGTAGGGCAAGGATACTTCGACGGTCGCCCTGCCCCCAGGTAGGCTGGAACCCGCGCCGTCAGATTACAAGACGAGCGCATTACCTTTAGGATACGGACTGGCAAACGCCTAATGAAGCAAGATGGTTACAACCAGAAATCAGACGGTTAAAAAGATAGGGATATAAGTGAGGTTGGAACGGAATGATAAAAATAAAAGAGCATAAGAGGAGGAATAAGAAGACAATAAGGACTGAGCAGTAGCATCCTAACTCCCATTCATTCCGTTCGATTCAGCAGATAAGACACTGCTTATTATCTGCGACAACAGCTAAAGCATAAAGAGACTGGTTGAAGTTCATCGTATTGCGTGGGTATGATACTATCAGGTTACCCTGACTTTGGCAGAAAAACGATCAGGATTCTCATTGGTTTAAAAACCTGATTGTAAAACATCGACAGTTTGGTCGTGGAGTACAGGGAACTCGTTCTAAGAAATAAGTAGCCACTCTCACTCCAATCCCCAAAATGGAGGACCAGATGACTGAGTTTGTTTAGCTTCTAATCAATGAAGATGCCAGAAGCACCATCCAGCACAATCCAATAGATTGTGGAGGCACGCACGTTATAACATTACGTTAAAGTCCAGCTTCATCGCCCCTGCCCAGTAGAAGCAAGAGAATAACGGTCCGAATTCAGATATTCCGTGTACCTCATCTACTGTGTACAATTTTTAGAATCACACACACACACACCTTTGCAAACACAACGTAAAGGCAATGCGTGAAATCGAAGGACAAATGACAATGAGCTGCAACGTGTCTCAGTAACACTACGAGAGAACAGATATCCAGAGAGGTTCATTGCGGGCAACTCAAACCTAAAAACAATCGAGAAACCTATGGCCGACATCTCGAAGAAAAAGGTATTCATCAAGCTGAACGCTGTACGAGACTACAGCTGGAGCCACTGTAGCTACGATGCATGAAACTAAGAATAAGAATGACTTGGTCCATAAGCGGGTATTCGCACCAAGTATCAATTTTCACTTCAAACAAAAAGGTAGATACACAATTAGGAATACCAAGAACACACTCCCGTTGTCCAAAATTAAAACTAATATTCGAAGAAAATTCTACCCAAACAGACAGAGCGAAATCTGGAACAACCACCTTATCAAAGTAACGGCATGTGAATTGTAACCGTCATTTAAAAGTACTGTTTCTAACTACCCGACGATGTAATTGCAGTGCAATGAAAAAATTGCCACTTGAAGAGGGGGCCGAGACGTGTGTGGACTACAAATATACATAAAATGTGCTACGTACAGAGTATTTAGTTGGTCAAACACTCCTGAAGTAGTGTGCTGAAAATAGACAAAAAAATTGACAGAATCCCCTTCACCCTTCTTCATTCGGCTCGTTTTACTCGGGAAAGCATAACTCACAGACACACCAATAAATGTGGACCGCAGAAGAATTGCAAACTGAAATTAAGATAACCAATTTTGTCGCCACTCTTCGTATTCTGCTTACTCAGCCACGCCTGCCTTGCAGCCATATTAAAAAGCGTGAGTTGAGAAGAAAATACTGACTGAAACTATTCATCTTAATTTGCTTTTATCATTCGTTCTTCGCTTACTCGTCTATGCTTTCTTTGTTACCCTCATTTAAACATGAATCTAACCGATTCGGTTTCCAAAATATTCATCCTTATTTCAAAAAATTTTCTCACTTTTTCTCTTACTCGCTTACGCCTAGCATACAGTTATACCAAAACGCCTGAGCTAGTTGACGAGTACTGACCACGTCCGCCTCCCACACAACAAATAAATCTTCCATTCTATCTGTCTCAGCCCATATGTACAGCTACTGAACTGAAAATAAATAAATACCCTTGTCTCTCACTACTCCTTTTTAGAACGCCACAATGTGCAGAAATGGTTTAGCCTAAATTAGATGATATGTTCAATAAGTATGATTTCAGCTTTAACGTTTCTCTTATCCCCCCAATAATGGCTTCACATCCTTTACCAAATGAAAAGTAAAACTGTTTCCGTCCGTACATGGAGCTCTCCGTCAAGACGCCATAAATTATTCTGTGCCCATCCACGGCACAACCATGGAGGTTAAAACTTTTGCCTGGCATTTGGAATATGCTGTAAATAGTAAACGAAACAATTGTAAAAAAATTCGATTATGCTGAAAAGCATGTCTGGTAAACCAGAGGATATACATAATAATAATAATAATAATAATAATAATAATAATAAGTATTGTTAGTATTATTATTCAATGGGGACCAAAATGACAGGCGATTCCAACATCGTCTCCGCCAGTCCAATAAGAAATGCCACCATGCGGCCGAGCTGATGCTACTGTACCAAGTTAGAAGTTTGTGGAAGGAAAAATGTGTCAGCTGCACGCCGTAAAGGCACTTCACTGCCGTGCGACCACCACCAGTCGCACGCGGGCTGAGTATACCGCGAGGACGCCCACCCCTACGCGGATTCGAACCCGCGCCGCAAGATTACGAGACAAGCTTGTTAGCTCTAGGCTAGGGGCCGACTTATGGAAGGAAAATCCTGTATGAAATAAGAGTCTGATCAAAACATGGTTACAAGATGACAACTTCCGCGTCAACCAAAACCAAGGTGAATACCGAGATACCACATAGGGATAAGCAGCTTTTCGCAGAATCAGAGCAGGAGAAATCAGTCAATAAGTACTAATCCATAAAACGACCATGAGAAAATTCAAGGTAAGAAGAAATTTAGGTAGGCCGCCGATAGAGTAATCCCAACGAACGAATGGGACAAAGCGAAGCAGACTTACTTGATTAATATATAAAAAGAGAACCGCAACGCTTCTTGAAACAATACGCCCATCAACAAACTTGGGGCCAGATTCGCTGTTAACGATCTCAGTGGCATCCAGAGGAGTGCAGTGAGCAGCAACGACAGAAGCCAGAAGAATCCGCTGCAAATGAACGAGTTGGATAGAGGAGAGTGTAATTCCAGTGACTGACACAGAAATGGGGAAAAACCGGAAATTCGTCGTTGCCGAAATTAGTTTCAATTTATTATCACCCGCGAGGCTTGTTACAACCAGGAAAATTCATCATCTGCTGTCCAAGCGAGTCAGCGTATTCACAAAAGCAAGTAGACGATATGATAATGAGTTGCTAAGCGAACTTACCAAAAGGGGCATGCTCAACAAAAATCTAGAACTATCTATTTACATTAAAGAAACAATCGGCACAGCATAAATATCAGGCGCTGTTGAGGCTTCTATTAACTTGGAAAAGGACAAGTATGACCGTTCGCATAGAACCCTAAGTCAGACATGGACGCAGTTAAAAACATTTCGCATTGTGACGACCAAGAGAGTTTAAACTTCGCCCGAATTATTGTTTCAAAGAAAAGTTGGCTGTAAAACAGATGGATAGATAAAAACCGGGTTTACGCACCAATGAAACACTCATACGCAGGTTTCATCACTTCGTCTTTAAGAAACATGATTCGAAACAAGTTGCCTTTTTCCGGCTTTACAGAGTTTACTGCTACAATCAGATGTGTGCTCTCCAACGCGGGGTTGTAAAGTGCAGCGCGGAATTCCGCCGTGGGTATACGCACACGGCGAAAGTCGCCCAAAACCTTACGAGTCCAATACTCATCTGCCTTCCAACGTACACCGGGTTCGAATTCTTTTCTTGTTGCCATCACTCCACCATCAGATTTAGAAAACGTTACCTTCACTGCATAGGCGGTGCTAAGGAAGTTGCCACTCATGCGCACACACATCTCCTGGAGCGGATAACATCCACTCGAAAGTACTGTAGGTAGCAGCCATACATCTAGACGAACAACTGGCTGGGTTATTTCGGCGCTGTTTGGACGAGAATATAGTTCCGTCCAAGTGGAAACGGGGCATTACCAATTCTATTCACAAGTGATGAACTCGATCAAAGCATACTAATTACCGCCTATGTTCGCTAAGGTCATGGAAGTGACCGTTGCAGATGCAACGATGGGCTCTATCTGGGAAGCTACGATACCACTGAGCCGGAGCAGCACGGTTTTCATCAGCATCGTTTGTGTAACACGAACTCGTAGATTGTACGGGAGAACTGGACGGAAGCAGTTGAGGAGACAAAAACTGACGCCATGTTTTAAAAAGCATTCGGTCGCTTAGAAGATAGTATACTGCTTAACAAGCTTCTGAATTATGGCATTGGTAAACCAGCATTTGGATGGAGCGGTAGTTTCTCCCACGAACAGTAACTTGAGGTTCGAGTCCGAAGCCAACTGGAGTCGAATGCGGCGTGTCGCAAGTTTCGCTACTTTGGCCTTGTCTGTTTCTGATTTTAGTAACGATCTAGCAAAAGTTAGCACCTCGAAGTGTTCACCCTTTGCGGACTAGGTTCATTTGGCAAGCGATGGAGGGATTTGATGATCACGAAGTCCTCCAGCGCGACCTTGACGAGTCCTCGAATTCGTCGCCGAGGAACGCGCTGTCATTCAATAAGAGCAAGCATCGCGTTCTTCACGTTCGCCACCGATATGTCTACATCCGCCAGTTTGAGGTGTATGATCTGCAGACCACTTCTTAAGGTGACTTCAGAGCGCTCGCTTTTTCCAAACAATCTGAGTGCGCTATAAAAAGAAGCAACCAGAATGTTGGTCTGTTGCGAAGGGCACACGGGAATTCCGATTATCCATCTGTACTTTGATGAGCAATATCTGTATGGCGATCTTGGCTGAAGCACGACCTCGTAGCGAAGGAAAAACCTATGTCAGGCAATGAAGAATGTCAAGCATTTACGCCAGTTTGCGTACCGGGCATGAGTGGAGAAACTCGAAGTGTTCCGCAGATGCCCATTTGCTGCTATGCGGAGACCTCATAATGGCACACCAAATACCGAACCGATTAACGTATGCTGTCACCCTTTTGAACAAGTTAAATATCTATCTAAGAGACTGGCTTAAAAGCAAGTTAACATGTTGACTTACCTCTCCCTTCGGATCCACCAACCTTGAAACATTCTTCTAAACTCAGCTCTTTGCGCCTCCAATTCAGCGTTCATCAAAAAGATTTGAATATCGTACCCAAATCCCTACACTTTGTTACACGAATGGATGCACTGGAAAGTATTCCCGTGAATTAGCATACTTGCAATGACAATTAACACGTAAATCGGCGAAGGTGGGTGAGTAATCCAGTTGTCCTTTATATGAGATGTTAGCTATAAGTTGTTGTGCTGTTCCACATAGTACAAGTCCATTTCAACAATCTTGCTCCTTGTATGAAACTGTCTTGTTGTTTTATTCTTTCTCATGTGCAATGCTTGTTTTCGTGCTTCTCACCCCAACCAAACTACGGGACCAGTTGAGCAAATGCTTTCATAACCGTCACAAACCATTGTTCCGTTGTACCGGTATACTGATGAGCAGCTTATCAGCAGCACATCAAAAGGCCTGTGTTCAAGGCACTGTCCCAGAGAATAGTACTCAGGTGTGGTGAAACCAGAAGCAACCCCCAGTTATGCGAAGCCAAGTGTCTGCGCATTCGCATAATACGTAAGCGGTATGAGCCTGTAAAGTGCACGTGGATGCTGAATCAGTGCGTTAAGTATAACGCCTAAAGTCGGTTAGAGAGGATAGAAGTAAAAATTGAGCAAACACCAGCCCAAATGTTTTGTATCCATCAAGAGATCAAGGCACCGAATGGTGCATCAAATAAGTTGGGATACTAGAACACTAGAAAATAAAATTTCAAAATAAGCGGAAGAATAACAGGGGAAAAGGAAGTACAGGCGCAACTCCAGGTAATCGGTGACGTTCGATAACATAGCTAAATGGATCGATCGGGCCTTAGGATGCATGTCATTATGACTGAATGGCTCACCTTGCAGTGAAGATGATAACTTTGAGTGGGTTGTTTGCAATCGTGAAAAGAAACAATACGGTACATGGTCCAATACCTACCAAAGTGCAACCAAGACACCCAAGCTTCGTCATGAGTCAAGGCCGAACCTGAAAAAAACATAAGCTCATGTAAGACGGACTGAAGTAGCCATTTTTCAATTAGCGAGGACACTAATGTTTGGTAATAAAATAAAAAACAGCCATAAGCCAATTTTAGGATTCATAAATGGTGTGACCAAAATACTGAGTAAATTGCTGAGCGAAAAACACCTGCAGCTCCGTCAGTGAAAACCGAACAAAGAAACAAGTTTCAACAAAAAATGGAGCACCGGGAACGTGATACCCCTCACTGTCAGGATACAGTCAGTTCAAGCGGAAATTAGCTGCGCAAATTAGTTGACATAAGGATTTGGACCGCTAGGCAGACAGCAGGATAAGAGATTAAAAACAAGTAAACATGCAGACCATATAATGGTAAAAGGAAAAAGACGCATGGTGTAATTTTGTAATTATGTACTAGGTGATAACACAAAATAGACAGCCCGTAGCCTTAAGGATCCCAAGCGTGCCTTGTAATATGAGGGCGCGAGTCCAAGCCTGCGACCCTTGCAGTATCCTTATCCCACATGCGACTGGTGATGGTTGCGTGGCAGTGAAGCGTCGGCACTACATACCGGCGTACTCCTGATGCTTTTTGATAGCATAATAGCAATAAGAGAAAGAAACCAAGTTTCCAGTCGCGCGATGGCTAGGTATACCGCGGGTTTTAACCGGTGACCTCCGGAACACCACACATGTGCGTAGTCCTTTCGTCCACTGGCGAAATGGGGAAGTGAATGGCACGGAGCGCGCGGATGTATCTTATCATCTGTGTTGTAGACAAAAACAGAACATGATGATGCGAAATACCGACGATCGGAATTCCTGGTAATCGGAGGGCGTAACGTAAGTACGTGGCATGGTTTCGTGACGTCTGTCATCATGACACAGGTTGCTGCCCGGCAGGTGAAAGCACGGCTAAGCCACGCAGGAAACTGATTAAATCAGCCCGCCAGCATAACACACGTTGCCACGCGACAGGCGTGAGTGAGTACGACTATAGCAGGCCAGTGCGGACAAGTAGAAGATATGGAATCTGCCCAGGTGTGTTGAGTCAGCTCAGAACGCGCAACCGGAGATGATAGCAGGTGACTCATAAAATTAACCTTGTTCTGTTCTTTACATACTTCGGTCTAGCAGGCCCGTGTTTTGTTTTCTTGCCCGGCTGGGTCGTCGTCGTCGTCTTATACACCTTAGCTAGAGGTGGAAAAAACCTCAGCTACTGTGCCGCAATACATAAAAAGGGAAAAAATGCGACAGGTGCAAGCCAGATGAGCTACCGGCAACGGATGGGCATCGTTCCGGTAAGCTAACAGCCGGCTACTATGCACTAAAAAGTACTATACAAAATGATATAAGGCTAAATAGTGATATCGTGGTTAGAGGGGGAGGTTAAGAAGGATGGGGTGGGACAAAGAAGCTCACAGCACGAACGTCACTGAGGTCGGCTCCGAGCCATATCAGCAAGTGTATCCAGCCAAACGTGTTCATCGTGTTTCGGACCCCAACCAGGGAGCCGAGACACTCCAACTGAGGCCAGACAAACTCAGCCTCCTGGTCCTCCAGGTTAGGGGTTGGAATGAGGGCGGCTCCTTACTCCTTAAAACGGACTCCTTGTAGCCCAACGCCAAACCCGCTGCCTTGCGGTCAGGTCTTTGAACCAAAGACTTTGGTTGAGAACCCTAATCGTTCTCCTGTCTAGGCCTGGGCAATCTGACAGTATCCTGCCCATACAATCCAATGAATCTCTCCTCATACAAATTTCTGATGCTTTAGCCACCGCAGAGGATAATCAACGGTGCCCTATCTGTTGTATCGAGCAGGGTGGATAGTGGTTTGGATGCTACTGCTCAAGCCTTCCCATCTTCTTATTACCCCTCCTACGCTTTTTCACTCTTCCCGTCCCGTTCCAGCTTCACTTTAATCCCCCCTCTTTCAACCCCCCACTCCATGGCCACCCACGTTGTCTTGATAGACTTTTACCTTTCAGCTTCAAGTCACATGCGAACGCGGAACGTCATTCCTACCGTCGACAAGCCCACGTTCAAACAATCAGCCAAGCGCAGTTCGACTTCCATTTGGAGCGCTCGATCCTTCTTCAGATTGGCATGCTTCAATGTACGCAAATGGCTTCAGATCGGTCAACAGGCAGCACTTACCCGAACATTAGAGACCCTCTGGATCGACATCTGCTGCTTATCGGAGACCAGCCTGCAAGACTCTAGCTCAGTGCTAACTTTGAGATCCCCTTCAGGTGACACCAGTAGCACTTTCTCATTGCGCCTATCCGGTAACGATGCAGCTTCGAGCACCGGCCAAACCGGTGCTGGTATTGCCCTGAGTCTCCAGGCTGAAGCTGCTCTGGTTGATTGGATTCCAATCAGTAACCGCTTGTGTGCCGTCCGATTGGCTGGCTCGTTCAAAGTTTCGAAGTCGCCCGGGACCAAAAGGTGTTTATCCGTCAGCGCTGCCTACGCACCCACAAACACTAGCGATGATTCGGTAAAAGACGACTTCTATCGTTAACTGAACGAGCTCCTTCGCCACAGAAGAAGCTCGGACACTGCTGTGCCGACTGAAGATCTGAACAGCCAACTTGAAAAATTATCCACTGATGAACTGCATCTGAGCAGCCAACATGGTGTAGTCTTCCGTAATGATACCGATGAGCGGTTACTTCATTTGTGTGATGATGCTCGCTTATTTCTTGCGAGCACTAATTTCCGACACATCACCTGCCGGAGGGTGACTTGGCGCACACCAGCCTCAAACCAGCTATGGTCGAAAATCGATCACATTGCGATAAGTTACCGATACAGAGGCTGCGTCCAGAACTGTTACTCCATTTGGAGCACAGGTGTGGATACCGATCATGCACTTGTATGTGCTGACCTGCGGATGCCTTTTGGCGGACGCCCACTACGATGTTGTGAGCGCATTGATACCAGCCAACTGGCGAAGCCGGCTTTCCTGAATGCCTATCAAAGTACGCTGTCAAGCGTGTTGGATAAACGCTCACGGGACGCAACTGAAGCTCACTGTTCTCATCATCATCAACAGCAGTACATCAGCCATTTGAACTGATGCTTCGCTGCCATACAACCATGAGGACCTATGAAATAAAGAATAAGAAGAGGGAGAGAAGGGGGACTTACCTGAAAGCCTTAATGCCCTAAACAAACATTCAGGGTTAAGGAGCCTACACCTGGTGTAGACAACATACCGTCACAAACGGCTGGCTATCGTGCAAAGATAAGGCGGCATCAAGGAGACAGCTTCCTTGCGGCTTTCACTGCCACGCGTCATAATCAGCCATTACCTCGCAGATAACTCAGCACCAAACATACTTTAAACAGGCAATCCGATTACGAGACGGCAGCAGACGCTACTGGTGTCTACTGCGAGCCATATCCTGTAAAGTATCGAGCCAAGCACAAGGCGAGTCACGTGGACTCCAACCCGGAAGGCGAATCGGACCGGCGGAACCCAGTTTGGTCGTCAGTGACTTCATTTCCCGCTGCCAAGTCAACTTCTGTCCACCTCGAGTCTTGTGCCACCCTACACCTGGCAGACTAAACAAGGCTCTCCTAGGTAAGCGGTGACCAGGCATACGTAGCACGTGCCCGAGCCAACGCAACTTATTCAGTGCTATCTGTTGTTCTAGGGAGCTAGCATGATTATCACCACCTAGTACTCGCATACGCACATCATTGTTGCGGACAAGCTGGTGCCATCCGACTCCAGCAATGCTTCGCAGACAACGATGATCAAAGACTTGAAGGTGCCTCAGATCTTCAGACCGAAGGGGCCAAGTCTCACTACCATAGAGCAGAACGGCCCTCAAAGTGGCATTGTATACCCGGTCTCACGTTCACCAGACCCTACTAGCAGCAGAAAAATCTTCATGTGGTGAGTCTAATCGCCAACATGGAAACTGGGTCTCTACGCAGTCTCTGGAACTTATCGATGCTCGTCGGCATATTCCGGCTGCAACCGAACACAATGAAACTCGCAAAAAGCTCCGGGAAAAACCGTGCTAACTTAAAGAGAGACCGCGAAACGAAGCGGTCCCATCGTGCTTCAGAGATGGTAATGGCCGCTGCAGTTAGCAATCATCGTAAGTTATTCTGGCTGATATGGGAAACAGGTAGCAAGAGACCTGGTGTTAGTGAAACTATACGTGACGAGAGTGCACAGCCAATCCACAATTTGTCAAAACGCTTGGAACGTTGGGCTGAGCACTTTGAAAGGGAATTTAATTGGTTGGAATTCTTAGATTTCTCGCCGGTCACTAATCGCCCCGCTCCCTGCGCTTTCTCTCTGGATCCACCCTCTCGCTCAGAAGTCGAATGTGAGATCGCACTGTTGACGTGGCAGGCAATTTGAAGGTGATGGAGACCAGACTGATTCCTCTATGGTTGCCGCATTCCGATCGTGAGCCTCCCTCGAAAATTAGGACTATGACGGAGCGACTCCAGTCGGTTACAACAGTTTCTCTGCTCCCACAATTTCACTAGTAAGTCGTGTAGTTCATCCACAAGAGCAGGTCTTCCGAATTTGAAGAGGTCTGGTGGAAGATCATCTGGTCCCGCGGCTTTATTTAACTTCAACACTCCGATCTCACGTTCGACTTCTGAGCGAGAGGGTGGATCCAAAGAGAAAGCGCAGGGAGCGGGGCGATTAGTGACCGGCGAGAAATCTGAGAATTCCAACCAATTAAGTTGCCTTTCAAAGTGCTCAACCCAACGTTCCAAGCGTTTTGACAAATTGTGGATAGGCTGTCCACTCTCGTCACGTATAGTTTCACTAACACCAGGTCTCTTGCTGCCCGTTTCCCGTATCAGCCGGAATAACTGGCAGCGCAAAGGGCAGGGGCAAGGGTAAGGTTACAACCCAAGACTTCCAGAAACAGGCATCTGTGACCGAATCGACATAGCTGTTCGTATATGGAAAATAGCCAGATAGGAATGACAACATGGTGTCAGGGAAATTAGCAGTATACCCTTGGGG